CTGGTCAAAAACTATGGAAGGAAACATCTGTCACCAAGACAAATAATATCCTTCTTGCACATGAGCTGGTCAAAAACTATGGAAGGAAACATCTGTCACCAAGAGTTATGATCAATATAGACATCAGGAAGGCAGCTGGTCAAAAACTATGGAAGGAAACATCTGTCACCAAGAGTTATGATCAATATAGACATCAGGAAGGCATTTGATTCTATAAGTTGGAACTTCATTCAAGACATTCTGACATATATGGGTTTTCCACTGGGTTTTATTAAATGGATTATATGCTATATTTTCACTCCAAATTATTCTCTCTCTCTAAATGGTAGCTTACATAGATTTTTCGAGGGTGAAAGAGGTCTAAGGCAAGGGGATCCTCTTTCCCCCTACCTGTTCATTCTAGGCATGGAATACCTGACTAGAATGTTGAACCAGCTGAAAGATGATAAAAATTTCAAATTTCACCCCAAGTGCAAAAATCTAAATATAACACATTTAGTGTTCGCTGATGATCTCCTTCTTTTCTGCAAAGGGGATCCTTATTCAGTGAATAGAATTTATCAATGTGTTGAATATTTTGGAGCATGCTCTGGTTTAGAAGCAAACCCTGCAAAATGCTCTATCTATTACGGTGGAGTTTCTGATGAAACTAAGCATGAGATTAGTAATTCACTGGGGTTCCCTGAAGGTTCTCTTCCAATCAGATACTTAGGCCTTCCTCTCATATGTAAGAGGATGTCTTACATTGATTGCAACCCTCTACTCCTGAGGATATCAAACCAGTTCCAGAGTTGTATGAAGAACAAATCACTGTCTTATGCTGGAAGATTACAGATTATTAAGAGTATTATTTTGGGTATTCAAATTTTCTGGACATCTAGCTACATCCTTCCAGTAAAAGTGCTACAAAAAATTGATGAGCTATGTAGGTGTTTTCTATGGGGCAAATCAGAACATACTTCTAAACCTTTTCTGGTATCATGGAGTAATGTCTGTGTTCAAAAGAAAAATGGAGGGTTGGGAATCTTCTCGGCAAGACTGTGGAACACTGCTACTGCCCTCAAAATTCTGTGGAGTATTCACATGAACAAGGAGCTTTTGTGGATTAAATGGTCCCATGAAAATTATCTGAAAAATAATAGCATTTGGATGGTAAAAACTAGAAAGGGAGACTCTTGGATGTGGAAACAATTATTGAGCATCAGAGATAAATGTATTTATTTGTGTGGAGGGATTGATAATCTCATTCAGCTTCTCAATTCTTGCTGTAGCAAATCAAAAATTCAACTCTCTGACATATATTCCAGGCTGTCACCTATTACATCTCAAGTGGCATGGCATGATACAATTTGGGAAAAATTACGCTATCCAAAGCACCAGTTCATACTATGGCTGGCAGTCCAGGATAAGCTTCAAACTCAAGACAGGCTCCTCAGACATGGAATTATTCAGACTTCTGTCTGTAAGCTTTGTGACTGTCCTATCTCAGAGAGCAGGAATCACCTTTTTTTCGAGTGCACTTTGTCAAATAAGGTTTGGAATGGTATTATGGAATGGCTCAACTTCAAATGGAGATCTTGTGACTGGTCTACCCTCTTGAACTGGTTCATTTTCAGGTTGAGGGGTAAGGGTATGAAACAAAAGATTAAGAGGATGGCATTTGCTACAACAGTTTATGCTATATGGAATGAAAGAAACTGCAGAATTTTCAAACTGAAGAGTAAAACTCCTGAAATTCTAATGAAGAATATCAAGTTAGATATCCTGACTGTCATTTTGAATTCTCAGTCTGAATGCAGGGAATGGGGGCTCTCTATATAGAGTACAATTGAGGAGAAGGAGGTGCACAGACAGGAGGTGCACAAGAAATGAATATTTGTCATACTTGTGGAACTGAATTTCCCACCTGAGATTTGTGCTTTTATGTAATATAGTCTCATATCTGATATCTCACTGTTGAGTAGAGATTCTTGATGTACATAATTCCTATTTTTGGAGATGAATAAAATTTTTCATTTACCAAAAAAAAAATATTCTATTGTTATGTTCCCTCCAAAACCCTAAAATAATCGTGGCCCTGTCCCCAATCCCAAATTATCCTCATATCATTTTCGATATTCCTCTCTCTCCACTTCCTTGACATCTAATGGATGGAAGATGGAGGTGTGTGACCCCTATAGGAACTGAGAAAGAATCTTATTGATCACTGAAAGTAAAACAGAGGATTACATCTTATACTACTCAAATAACAAACTAACCACTTATCTTAACTACATATATCTCTTATCTAATAATTAACCAACTAACTGAAAAGATATCATCAAGGATATCTTCGTATCATCAACACATAACAATGAGCTAGTGATATAATAGTATCTAATGGCACTATCTTTCAAATGATCAAATAATTACAATATTAAGAAATATCTTAACAGATAGATTTCTTTCACACTATTCTTCTTACTATTCTGTAAAGAAAAATGCTAGAGCCACACCCTTGAACCACACCTCCAACTCGTTGTGGCTGCCATAGCTCGATACTCCGCTTCTGCTGACGATCTCGAGACGGTACTCTGCTTCTTCGTTTTCCATGAAATGGGTGACTCCCCAATTGTGATGAAGTAGCCACTAACTGAGCGACGAGTAATTGGACAGCTCGCCCAATCTGAATCGCAATAGGCTCGTATTCTCAAATCGCAATTAGATGGTAATAGAATCCCTTGGCCTGGACTCCCTTTGATGTATCTCACAACTCGCATTGCTGCCTCAAAATGCTCTTTGCGAGGAGCTTGAGCAAACTGTGAAAGAACATGGACTGCATATGAAATCTCTGGACGTGTGATGGTTAAATAGATCAAACGACCTACAAGTCGCCGATAGCTTGCACCATTTGTTTCCTCCCCCTCGGCCAGAGCAAGCTTGTGGCCCTGCTCCATAGGTGTCTCAGCTGGCTTACTCCCAAGTAATCCAGTCTCAGCGAGAATTTCCAATGCATATTTCCTTTGACACAAGGAAATGCCCAACTGCGACCTAGCAACCTCAATGCCAAGAAAGAAATTTAAAGAACCCAAATCCTTGATATGAAAACACTTATGCAAGTATTGTTTGAAAGCTGCACATTCATCATGATTATTCCCAGATAATATAATGTCGTCGACATACACAAGAAGACCCATGAACACGCCATGTTGATGATAAGTAAATAGAGAATAATCTGCCAAGGATTGAGTAAAACCATACCCCGTAAGTGCTCCGGTCAATTTATTGAACCAATTTCGTGAAGCTTGGCGTAGTCCGTAAATGGATTTACGAAGACGACAAATACGATCTCCACAATCAGTTCGAAAACCTTGAGATAGCTTCATATACACTTCCTCATCGAGATCTCCATGTAGGAAGGCATTATTCACGTCCATTTGATGTAGTTCCCATCCTCGCGCCGCTGCAACAGAAAGAAAAACTCGAACTGAAACAAGCTTTGCAACTGGTGCGAACGTCTCATGAAAATCGAGTCCCTCTACTTGCGTGAAACCCTTGGCAACGAGTCTTGCTTTGTACCGTTCCACAGTCCCGTCCGCTTTGCGCTTGACTTTGTAAACCCAACGACAGTCTATTGGCTTCTTTCCTTTAGGTAATACTTCAAGTGTCCAGGTTTGATTAGCCTCAAGCGCTTCAATTTCTTTGGCCATCGCTTCACGCCATCGTTCATTCTGAACTGCCTCTGCATATGACTTCGGTTCCACATCCGAAGTAATAGCTCCAACAAAACGCCTGTGATTCTGTGACAAATTATCAAACGTTACATAATGAGCTAAGGAATGAGGTATACCTGAGTCGCTTTCATGTCGCGGTAGCTTAGAGGAGGGGGGGTAAATGCTATCTTTATCAGTTGAAGCCTGAGGCGAAATTGCTGAAGAAATACAATCACTGTTCAGTTGAATCTGTTTGTCCTCTGCTGGTGACAAAACATCTCTATTGCCCAGCAAAATCTGCTGGTCTTGTGCCTTTGCTTTGCCATCTCGTGCACATGCGCGTATCATTGCACTAGGAAGTTGTGCACGCTGCTGCTTTGAGGAACTATGCTCATCCAAGCCGTGTGTATGGCCGCACACACGTTGCTGCAGCCCTGAATCCTTCGCTGTTTTGTTGCTGCTCAGTTTTGATTGCCCAGATTTCACTTGTGCACAGTCGTGTCTGTCTGCACAGCCATGTCGCTGTTGTTGCCCAGAAATCTGCTGCTGCCCGTGTCTGTCTGCACAGCCATGTCGATGTCTCTGCCCAGAAATCAACTTGTCGCCAGTCCTCGCTGAATAAAGAACATAACCGTCGAGACGCGCCGGTGTTTTAGTCTCTCTTCTTGGCCGTATTGCCCTCGCTGAATAAAGAACATAACCGTCGAGACGCGCCGGTGTTTTAGTCTCTCTTCTTGGCCGTATTGCCGCCCCTTCAGCTTGACCCACAACTTCACGAACTGGATCCGCACCTTCTCCCTCATCTCGAACACTAACATTAGTAGCTTCAAGTTCATTAGTTAACTCATCATCGCAACCAAAATCATCATACAACCCATACACAGGATCATTACGAGCATGAGACTTAAGCCCTTTATCACTATGTGCAAATGGAAAAATATCTTCATGAAAAGATACATCTCTTGAGTAGAAAAACTCATTTTTCTCCAAATCATAAAGTCGCCAACCCTTTTTGCCATGTGGATAGCCTACAAAAATACATCTCCTACTTCTTGAACCAAATTTATCCTTTTGCCTAGGATTATTATGTGCATAACATAGACATCCAAACACCTTGATATGATCATATATAGGTTTCTTGTCAAATAGAATTTCATAAGGCGACCTCTTATCAAGTTTAACAGTGGGTGTACGATTAATGAGATAAACTGCAGTTAAAACACATTCTCCCCAAAATTTAATAGGTAAAGAGGCTTGAAAACGGAGAGCTCTAGCCACTTCGAGGATATTCCTATGTTTCCGTTCGACTCTTCCATTTTGTTGGGGTGTATATGTACAACTAGTTTCATGCACTATTCCATTTTCCTCATAAAAAGTTCGCATAGGCCCCTCAAATTCAAGACCATTATCACTTCGAATTCGCTTCACAGATTTATCGAATTGTGTCTTGATGAATTTACAAAATAGCATAAGAAATTTTTTAGCTTCACTCTTTTCTTTCATTAAATAAACCCAAACTCCTCTACTATAATCATCAACCAAAGTGAGGAAATAGAATGCACCACATGAAGCAGGTTTTGAATATGGTCCCCATAAATCACAATGAACTAATTCAAAACAAGTAGTAGCATTACTCTTACTCAAAGGGAAAGGAGATCGTGTCTGTTTAGCTCTATAGCAAACATCACAGACAAGCTTATTTATAGAATCAAAATGACCAATATCCGAGATAAAAGATAGATGCCGACTATTTTGATGTCCCAGTCGTTGATGCCAAACTAAGTGTGAGTCATCTCGCTTTACTTTCATTGCTGAATGCGTCTGTATAGCTTTGTACCAATAAACCCCCCTCGAAAGCTCACCCGCTCCAATCAGCGTCCTCGAGGTACGGTCCTGTATTACACAAAGCTCATTAGTAAACGTTATTTGACAATTTAAGACAGAAATCAACTGAGGAATTGATATCAAATTGCAAGTCAAATGTGGCACATATAGAACATCAGTCAACACCATTTTTGGACTCAAAATAACACGACCAACCATCGTTGCCATCGTTCTCGACCCATTAGGTAAGTAAATGGGTATCGGAATTGTATTTTTGAGATCGCTCAGGAGCTCCTTCTTACCAGTCATGTGGTTCGAAGCCCCACTATCAAGCATCCAAGTAGGTGGTTTAGAATCCTTACCGGAAAGCTTTTCGGCATTATCACCAGAGCGATCCAATATGTTTAATAGTTTCTGAAATTGCTCCGTTGACAAAACCTGATTGCCTGCACTACTATTTTCTTTGTCCTGTCCCACTGTTGTCGCGGCAAAAGCCTGACCGCGCCCTCTGATCTTGTCGATGCGCTCACGTCCTCTCTTGCCCTTGTACCAAGTCGGATAGCCTTGTAGTTCAAAGCAATCCGCGACGTCGTGCCCTAACTTGTGGCAATGTGAACATCTTCTCTCCACAGCACTTCACTGTTTTGTCCAAGATTGTCCAGCTCCTCTACCCTTAGCCGTTGCGTTAACTGTCATTGCCATCACCTCTGGACGCTCCTCTTGTCCTCGCACAATCGATCGATGTCTTTCTTCTTTACTAATCATAGCATAGGCTTTGTTGAGAGGAGGTAAAGGCTCCATGTTGAGTATTTGAGATCGCACCGTACCGAAAATGGCGTCATCAAGTCCCATGAGAAATTGATGCAGTTTCTCTTCTTCGTGCTCACGAAGAAAATCATGTGCTGCTCCACAAGTACAGTTTGGCACCTTAGAATAGTTATAGAGTTCATCCCACATGCTCTTCAATTGCGTGTAGTACGCCATCACTGACATCCCATTTTGCCTAGTTGATGCAATCTGACCTTTCAACTCATGAATCCGAGGTGCATTCACAATTGAAAAACGATCACGTAGATCTTCCCAAATAGCTTTAGCTGTCTCCTCGTAGGCTATACTCGGCTGAATGGATTTTTCGATAGAGTTGAAAATCCAAGAAATCAACATCGAGTTGCAAGAGGACCAACTATTCGCCTCCGGTGTATCCGGTGCCGGCTTCTCCAAGAAATCAACATCGAGTTGCAAGAGGACCAACTATTCGCCTCCGGTGTATCCGGTGCCGGCTTCTCCAGTGTGCCATCGATAAAACCCAATTTGTTCTTTGCTCTAAGCGCATTCTTCATTGCCTTCACCCACATATCATAGTTTTCTCCATTCAGAATGCACGTGGTGATCACCGCTCCCGGGTTATCTGAAGGATGCAAAAAAAATAGAGAAGACATATCCAAACCTTTTTTGTTGGCTGTGTTTCTCTCCGTCATGATTTCGGCAAGAGAAAAAAAAGTCTTTTTTTTTCGTTGGGTTTAGGAAGGAGAAGAATGGTGGCTATGGATCTAGGAAGAAGAAAAACAAAAGTGGCGGCTATGGGAGTTTCTCTCACGGATCAATAACCCGCTCTGATACCATATAGGAACTGAGAAAGAATCTTATTGATCACTGAAAGTAAAACAGAGGATTACATCTTATACTACTCAAATAATAAACTAACCACTTATCTTAACTACATATATCTCTTATCTAATAATTAACCAACTAACTGAAAAGATATCATCAAGGATATCTTCGTATCATCAACAAGCCCTAAAAGAGAATCAATTTTATTTTTCCAAATTTTGATCAAGTACTAGCATCCAAAGAAAAAGTGATTGATTGCTTCCACTTCACAATTGCATGGTACACGTATGTTCGGTCCTCGCCACTTATGCTTTAAGAGGTTTTCTCTAGTAAGTATGGCATTTTTGACAACTAACCAAATAAAAGCCCTCACCTTAAGAGGAACTTTAATTATCCAAATGCTCTTGCTAAATGGCACCTCATGCGTCCATCATTGATAAACTTGTAAATTCCTTTGAACTTGAACTGACCTTTTCTGCAACAAGTCCAAAGACGTTTATCTTTTAAATTAGACATATTTAGCTGCATAAAGTTTTATTTGTAAAGAAGATTTTATTTTTGCTCCCTACCAGCAGAATTCAAGTCTAAAGATTGATTGCTCCCTACCAGCAGAATTCAAGATTTTAAATTAGACATATATATTTGAACTTGAACTGACCTTTCCTCCAAATGCTCTTGCTAAATGGCACCTCATGCGTCCATCATTAGAGATGATAATTGGTCCTTCTTGGTTATCACCACCAAGTGATGTGGACTCTACATGTGGCTGCTATGGGCTTCCAGTGACTAGTCAAAGCTATACTTGGCTCTAATATCCATTATTTAAACTATTCAATCATTTAATCAATATCTGATGTAGGACTCTATCTTGGGGCATCACAATCACCCCACCTTAGTTACGCGATGTCATCATCACCGCATAACAATTGGTCCTTTTTAGTATCACATCAAACGATATGGACTCTAGAGGTGGCTCTTACGGGCTTCTAGAGAAAGCTCACACGACATTCATGAGGTGTAGCACTTTGTTTCACATAACACTTAGCTCTATATTTCCCGCTGGCTAACTGTTCTGACGTCATTTGTCATGCCTCAGGATCGCGATTCTGTTGGCGCGTTGTAAGTTATGGGACCCATGGAGTACAACACATCGTTTGACTCAATCTACTACCAAAATTGATCAGTCAATATTACACTTGGCTATCAATACCTATCATTTGAACCATTCAATCACTTAATCCATATTCGATGTGAGATTAAATCTTAGGGTATCACAGTTCTTCATGAATAACATAGTTGCGCTCTAGGATGAAACCCTTGGTCTGGTAAACCATTTATCTAGAAGTTCTTGCAACTGCTCTTTAAGTTCCTTTAGTTCTATAGGACTCATTCTGTAAGGGACCTTTGAGATTGGACTTGTGTCTAGAACCAGTTCAATAAGAAATTCTATTTCCCTATTGCGTGGCATTCCGAGAAGGTCTTCTAGAAAGACATTTGAAAATTCACGCATGATATGAATTTGATCCAAACTAACTGCTTTTTGACTCAAAACTTGCACTGATGCTAGAAAATCATTGTACCCACTTCTCAACATGCAATGAGTTTGAAGAACCGATATAATGCACACAGGCTTTTACACTTACTACCCCTCAAAGCAAACTCCAATTGTTTGGGAAAAATACCACTTTCTTCCCTTGATACAAAATAAGTGCATGAATTTAGATAACCAATCCATCTCTACAATGATATCACAATCGTGCATATCAAGGATGATCAAATCTGCTGGAAGCTCCCTACCCATTATATCTATCTTACTTTTGCAGTACTTATTAGATATTAGTATGCTATTTCCTGGTGTCACTGGTACAAAATAATGCATCCTAGATGGAAAATTCAGTTTAGGATACTCATATTTTCGTCTAGGAAAACTATCCTACATGGAATTCCGTCTTGGATGTGCGTCCAGTATGTTGCCATCTAGGATGCAGTATTCTAGACGGAATTTCCGTCTAGGAAGCCTAGACGGAATATTCTAGACGGAATGTAAAACCGTCTAGGAAATATCCTAGACGGAAAAATTCCGTCTAGGAAACTCCGTCTAGGATGCATCCTAGATGGAATTTTCCATCTAGGATGCTACAGTAACATTTTTTTTTGGAGAATATGTTTTGCATGTCATCTAATATCACATGTACATATGCATAATATTGCACAACACCAAATCATATTCATATCCAACACAATCTAATTATATTCAAATAATACATTTACCAAAAAATTAGAAAGATACATAAATTGTTTACAAGCATTCCCTGCTTCTCACACTCTTACTCCAAATATTGCTCTAACCCCTGAGATCATCATTAAATTACAAGCATAAACAATCAAGATGTTGGGAATTTGAAAAGTACATATTGCATAAAATGCAGATATATAAGTTGAGCTTGTTGTATTGCAATAATTTGTGAAAATGGTTAAATTGGCAAGAGAACATATCCTGTAATTTGGTAAGATGAATATGGGACTTACCGCCATTCAGATGGGAAAATATCATTAGGAGACTTGTTATCGGTGAATTCTGTTCCAAGAATCAATCCAGTCCCTCGAATCTGCAAAAGAAATGTGATACTAGGTTTAAGTTTTCAACTTGAATATGAATTAATTTTTTGAACTATGCTCTCAGAGAAAAGAATGTCCTATTAAGCTATTGAAAACACTAGCTCTGGAAACCTAATTAATGAGATACCTCTTAAAACTGACCAAAGCAACACACATACATAAGAATTGCACAATAAAAGTTAATGGATGTAGCTATAATGTAACAGAAAAGGTCGGAAAATTGCACCTAAGAGAATTCCTTCCTATTACCTTCTTTCTCAACTCATAAAGGTAGAATGCACTCAACATAACAGGTGTAAAGAACTATACCACATGAACATAACACTCACGGGCTAAGGCGCATAGGAGCAACACCAACTATACATCGCTATTATTTTGTTTGTAGGCGACGCATCATTAAGTCTTGATTGTCTAAAATGCCAATTACACTCAACTTAATCATTTGCTCATCTTCTTACTTCTAATCTAAATTAAAAGGTCATGCAATCATTTCCCTCAAATACAAAGCAATTTTCTGCATAATCACATATCAGGAAACTTACAACTAGTTCCACAATAAGTTCATGCGACACATGCCCATCATTGCCATAGAACTAGCATAAAGCTGTGTTTTTATAATTGAACAAAGTTAATTCTTTTAGTTTGTAATGTTCCAAAGTTAATTCCTTCCTATTACCAATCCCTCGGCTGCTTCAACTGTAAAATTTAGTGAGTACAAAATGTTAGTATCAGCTAAACACATCGCATATGATCAACAATCTGACAACACGAGTGATTAGATTCGTTGCTGATTCCATGAGGTAGCAAAAGCTAGACTATTTGCTTAAATGTATTAACTAATTCCCAGCCAGGGTGTATCAAAGTTCACACGTCTTAAATGAATCAGCAATTTCTTCATCAACCTTGAGTGCATTTTCAAACACAACTAAAAAGAAATTACCTTTGAGCGTATGAGATGCACGCTCGGACTGGCGAACCATCTGGAGCGTCTCCAAGGCATCTCCAATCTCCCCTCTGGACAAAAATTGTATATCTTTTCATCAAATTCTTAACATTTAAATGCAACCCCATCAACTAAAAGCCCCCCCTCCCCCCACCGCCCCACCCAAAAAAAAGGGGGAACCTTTCATAGATCAAGGTGGACATAGCGAGCATGAACAGTTCCCTAGCATTCTCAGTATCACCACCACCTTCAAGATTCGACCGCCCTTGCTCCAATATCATCATCGCTTGAGCGTACGATTCTCCTATAAAAAGAGCAAGAGCTAATCAAAACCCAAAATTTGTTGGAAGAAGTAAAGAAATAAGTAAAATAAAAGGAAGATGACCTGATTTCTCAGATCAAGCGTGCCCGAGCGCGTACTGGATCATTTGGCGAGCGACTCCCTCGTGATGAGGAGCATCGGATCTGCTCCCCGTTGTGTAAAATCTCGAACCTAGTGATCTAGTTCCAGTCGCTGCTCTCCTTATAGCGAATTGAAACATGATAGTGAGGGTTTTGAGCTCGAGACAACGATAATGATGATGGTGAGATAGGCGGTCGATAAATAAATAAAAAGAGGGGGGAGGCAAATTTGGGTTCGGTTGAACGGAAATAAGGGCTTGTTTGGATTGAGGGGAATGAGGGTGAAGGGAAGTTAGGGGAACCATTCACCTCCATTCATCTTGTTTGGGAACACTTAGGAGGTGAAGTTAATTCACCCTAGTTCCCTTTGGTTTACCCCCTAATAGTATAAAAATTGTTACCCCCCAAATTGGGGTGTAACCAAGGGGAAGGGAATTCCCTTCCCTTCCCTTCTCTTCCCTTCACTCAGTTTCCCTTAACTTCTCTTCACCCCCTACAAATCCAAACAGGCCCTAAAGGCTTGAATTTTGGACCATAAATTGGATTGGGACTCGGGTTGTTGGATTGGGCTCTAAAAACCCAAAACCTTGGTTGGCGTTGAATTGGGCGATGGAGGGGAGCACCTTCTCGTCGTACTTGGTCCCTAGGGAGGGGGTCCGGTGAGGAGGAGAGGAGGCGGGAGAGGTGGTGGAGGCTGTGGAGGGAAAGGGAGTAGAGGGGGGAGGGAGGGGTCGAGGGTGAGGTTGAGGAGGGTGAGGGAGAGGAGGGGGAGGCGGTGGAGGGAGGAGTAGGAGCGGTGGAGTTTCGGGAATGAAAATTTGGGAATGAAATTTGGGAAGGCCGACTTTGAAAATTTATGCAGGGAAACGAAATTTGGGAATGAAATTTTTAAGGGAAGCACGCACTCTTGTGACCCACCATCCTAGACGCATCCTAGACGGAAATTTCCGTCTAGGATGCTAGCCCTATTTAAAAATAAAAAATAAAATTACTAAAATTGTCTAGGATGCTATTGTAGACGGAAATTTCCGTCTAGAATACTTTTCCTAGTCGAAAATTTTCCGTCTAGTTTAATAACAAACTAGACGGAAAAATTTCCGTCTAGGATGTGGGATTTTCTACTAGTGTGTGCTAACATTTATTTCATGCTCAAGAGTATCATATAGAAAATTTTGCTTCTTAACAACTTGTGCAGCAGTAAAGAATACGAAGCTCCAGAGTCAAAGAGTACTCGAGCAAAAGTAGAAAATGTAGGTGTGATACTCGACAACTTTATTTAAAAAGCACTTGTTCCAGAGCCCAATAGCATGGGAATGTGCATCGATCATTTTAGATCAACCGGGGGACAAAATGTACCTAGCACTATTGTAGGTTGCTCAAAGTCCACTTTACTTTTACTCCATAATGGACTTATGAGAATTTTTAACATTTAAAAACACATTCTTTTTACTCAAATTATCAATTGTAAATTTTTACTTGTACTAAAAGCACCATATTTTGGGTAGACTTTATCATATATTTTTCATGAAAATAGAATATTTGCGAATCAATACTAATAAAATTATATTTGTTAAATATACAACTTTTTAATAAATATCATACGAACATTAGTTTTAAAATACAATTGACAACATGTTTTCAATAATTTGCTACTAAAATAAAATTTATCTTATTAGAGATAAAAAAAAGTACACATTGCCAAACTCTTTTAGCAATTATATGTAAGTGAACAAAACTAACATATCTGATATAATAGTATTTCTATACAAAAATAAGATTGATATTTGATAAGTTGTGATAGGTTATTTAAAATAACCCGTTGGTGCGATGTAAGTTATGGGACCCACGGAGTGTAACATACGATTTGGTTCAATCCATTGCCAAAATTGACTAGTCAATATTACACTTAGCTTTCAAACTCCATCATGTAAACCATTCATTCACTCGATCAATATCCGAAGAGGGATTAAATGTTGAGGTATCACAATTTATCATGCTAGAAACTAACTGTACGATCATCTCCAATAAAGAAAGATACCATAGACATAGACCAATCTTTTAATTTTGATAAACCTTCCATAATGTAAATGAATTATAGGAATTTCTCTCTCTATCTCCCCACCGGGCACTACGAGGGAGGGGGTTTTCTTTGACAAGCTTTTAGACTCTGTCGTATCAGGTTCTTTGGGATATAGATGCTATCAAATCACTACAATTGATTTCTTATTGTTCTTCTTTACATGTCAGCGCCTCATTTGCATTCCACTATCCTGACTTTCATTATACTCCTTCACAAACTCATAATCTTAGTTGAGGAGCCATCTAAACTTGTCACAGCAATTGGAAAGTCAAAACCGAAGTGGGAATTGGATAATATATGTGAAGAGAAGAGCAGAAAAAGAGGAGGTGAAAACAGAGGGGAAAACAACATAAATTGAAACCATTTGCATTGTTCTTGTATTCGCAGCACTATTAGAACTGCATATCTTACAGTTTGATGTTAAGCAAGCCCTTCTCATCGGAGAGTTAGAGAAAGAAGTTTATGTTGAGCAACCGGAGAGCTTTATGGTGAAAGGACATGAAAACAAAGTATATACTCTTCGCAAGATACTTTACCGCTTGTAACAAGCCCCGAGAGCGTGGAACAACAAGACTAACTCCCATTTTCGACAAAATGGGTTTGAAAGGAGCCCAACAGAGCCATCGCTATATGTGAAAAAAATAGATGAAGACTTCCTAATTATTTGTCTTTATGTTGACGATCTTATTTATATTGGCACTAGTAAGAAACAGTAGTGTATAGTCCTTTTCTACTTGGAGCGGAATATGTAGTGCTACATGCATTGGATGCGGTCTATTTATACAGATGCTTAGAGAATTTAATTATAACGCGACATGTAGAGGATGATGTGATTCTCTATCATGACAGCATGTCGTTTTTAGTGACAGTTTTTACTTAAAGATCTCAGACAATTAGGTTATTATGGTTAATGGCTTTATAAGATAATGCATTTAATTTGATTGTCTTTTTATCATCTATATGCATATCTGGTATTGCTTATTGATGTTTCAGAAGCGTAATAAAGAAAATAACAACTCATTCTCATACGAGCAAAACAAACCCTAGGAATAGAAAACTTCTGAAAATAATAATAACTAATCTAAAGAGTTTGAAAATTTGTTCTCCTGATATAGGGTATAAAACAAAGAAAAAGTACTAAAATAACATTTCCTAAAACAATTAGACTTATTGAAATAAAATAACTAATTGGACCAAAACTCGTAGTTTGAGACTGAAGATGATTTCCTTTCACCCAAAAACTCTATTGGAACAGTGAAGCAGTTCATTTGTAGAGAACTTCTCAAGCTTCCCGAAAACATATAATAATAGCCATTCTATGGAGGGAATAAAAAATTATGATCTGTTGACGTTGGATGTCGAAATCAGGCTGAAAATCATTCTTTTTTCTTGCATTGTCCGGGCTTTTCATGAACCAATTTCTCCCAAAAGGCATTAGCAATTGCCTCTGCGTTACTTATGTCTTATTGTTGCTTGATTATCATGGCATGGAGTATATTATTATGATGTGTACATAGTACACAAAGAGAACTGGGTGCACTATTATAAAGTTACATCAGTAGGTAGTAGCTCTTATCACACAAGAGATCTCATTCGAAGCGGTGGTAGTTAACAAAGCTGAGACCGAGTGTAGGATGTTATTAGGATTGGAGCAATGACCACATTATCGTATTACCGGGTAGGACGATAGTGGGATCACTTTATTGGTCTCTCTGACTAGGTTAACATAAGGTTACTATATACTTATATGTTAAAGAGACCGAAGTGAAAATACCACGTCCGCTTTACCTCTTTACTATCTACTAGATTGAGGGTCTAACTTGATGCATGAGGTGCGAGCTTGTCGGGAGATCCCAGGAATATCGTGAGATGATATGGCAAGACAAGTTCATTACAAGGTAATGAAACTAGGATGTGTACGGTATTTATTTAATGAGGTATGCTCACACACACACACACACACACACAGAGAGAGAGAGAGAGAGAGAGAGAGAGAGAGAGAGAGAGAGAGGGAGGGAGG